TACTGTGCGTCTGACCTTTCGCAATGGAAAGGTTCTTGCGCTCCTGGCGACAGGACGCCTTGAACCGTGGCCAGCATGATTCCGCAATCTACATCGGCGACAAAGTCCTGGCGCTCACCAGTAAGCATTGAGAGGCTCGGTGATACAAGTTCTAGGAAGGCATGCTAACTCTCAGCAAAAGACAGTGACTCTGACGCGTTCTGGCTCGCCCAAGTTCATTTCTCTAACAACAATTTCACGCGCGCCTTAGCCCTCCTCTCCCGCAAGGATCTCGTTTCTCGAAGCACCGCCTGCCGTTACCTCGCTGCTCATTGCTATATTAAACAAAACCAGTTCGATCAGGCTCTTTCCATCCTTGGTGAACATAACCCCACCGACCTAATCCGCAACAATCACACCAGGCGCAAGATCCAACACATCAACAACCAAAGCCATGTTACATTGCGCAATGGGAAGACTGCCACACCGCGCGGTGAGCGGGCTGAGGAGCGTGAGAGAGACGAGGCCAACAATGTGCGATTTGAGGCCGCTATGTGTTACTTACGGGGGCTCTGCTTCTCCAAGCAGAATGCGTTTGACCGTGCCCGGGACTGTTACAAGGATGCCGTGCGGATTGACGTTCAATGCTTCGAGGCATTTGACCAACTCATGAAGAACTCACTGATGTCTCCTACGGAAGAATTGGAATTCTTAGAGTCGCTCGACTTTGATTCAGTCTCATCTCCCGACCCCATGATGGCGCAAGAAGCCGCCCACTTTACCAAGATGCTTTACACCACCCGTCTCTCAAAATACTCGTCTCCCACTATCCTCTCCGACGCCACCGAAACGCTCTCCACACACTATAATCTTGCAGAGAACCCGGACATTCTTCTCTCCCGTGCTGAAGCTCTGTACACACAGTGCCGTTTCCCAGAAGCTCTGGAATTGACCTCTTCCATTCTCTCTACCTCGCAATCGCCTGACTTGACAACCACAACTACTAGTATACCTGCTCAGAACAACCTTGGTCATGCGCCCGCCATTTACCCGCTCCATCTGGCCTGTCTGTACGAAACCGGTGCTACAAACGCTCTCTTCCTGTTGTCTCATATGCTTGCGGATCATTCACCGGAAGAGCCCTACACGTACTTGGCCATTGGAGTATATTATTTATCAGTATCCAAGGTTGCGGAGGCACGACGCTTCTTCTCCAAGGCCTCATTACTAGATCCACATTCGGCCCCGGCTTGGATCGGCTTCGCACATACATTTGCTGCAGAGGGCGAACACGACCAGGCGATAGCAGCTTACAGCACTGCTGCCCGGCTCTTCCAGGGCAGCCATCTCCCCCAGCTCTTCCTGGGTATGCAGCATCTCGCTTTGAACAACATGGCCCTTGCACACGAGTATCTCTCGGCCGCTTATGCCATGTCGACAGGAGCGAAGCTTGGGTCGGTTCCAAAGATCTCAAGTATTTCCGCCGTCGGCGGGGACCCACTCGTCCTCAATGAGCTCGGCGTCGTCCATTATCACCTGTCCTATCTCGAAAAGGCTGTCGAGTATTTCCAGCAAGCGCTGGCGCTGGCTGCTTCTCTTCACTGTGAACCCAGCGCTTGGGTTGCTACACGTGCCAACCTGGGACACTCATTCCGTCGGCTAAACCTTCTTCCCGAGGCCCTCAGCGAGTATGATGAATGTCTTCGCGTGGGTGCGGGAGGTAGCAGCATGGGCTACTCACCATTCTTAGGCGGTGGTCCTAGCGGATCTGCTGCCGTTTCTACGGCATCTGGTGTCGGGGGCTACGAAGATCGGGGGTTGACTGGTTCTCTCCATACATCTCGTGGGCTTGTGCTCCTGCAGCTGGGACGCACCACCGAGGCAGTGACTGCCTTGCATGAAGCCGTACGTGTACTCGGGGCTAGTGGGGGAGGTGATGCGGCGGGTGGTGCAGGCGTGGCAGGCACTCTGCTATCCCGCGCACTCGAACTTTGGGCGCTCGAAGGGCGACAGCAGGGTCGCCAGACTTTTGAAGAGGACTTCCGCGTGGCATGCACCCCTGTTCAGGTCAACCCAACCAAGCGACGAGGTTCCAACCGGTCTCGCGAACTCAAGGGCAAAGAGCAAACTGCACAAGAGGGAATGTCTCGACGACGTGTGCGCCAGGAGCCCGTGGTAGAAGAATGGACGGACGAGGTGGCACACGCTACGCCTCAGACCGAAGAAGATAATGTTGAAATGGATCTAGATGACGCCGCTGATGGACTGCTACGACGTGCCCTGGGCCGCGTACGACCAAGCCGACAACGTCGCGCAGCCGTCCCCGCCACGCCAGAGATGGATACCGAAACACCTGCCCCATCAGGGAGTCGCAGTCGGGGGATACGACATGGACGAAGCCACTCCCGACAGTGATTGGATCCTCGGCGAAAACTTTTTTGTTTTGTTCTGTTATTTTCCATGCATTGTAGCGGGCGTTTCTTCGGGGAACAAGTTGGCGCGACAGGGGTTGGAATTGGCCTTCTCACACTACTCACAGTTGATACTCTAGCTAGGGCATTGTTAGCGTCTCAAACGCATCACTCTTACCAGAACTCGCACATTTGACTGGATGGATTCCACAGTCCACTTTGCCGCAGCATGGATCAAATCACGTTCGGCCTAACTTGGATTTAGCCCCAATACGTTGGGGGCTATTTTCTCATGTGGCGCCCTAGTGTCTCACAGGAATGCAAGCGAGGCATCAAGGGCAGTAAAATATTATTCTGAGATCCCGTACTGTCGCACTTTCACACTTTCATAGGTGATATACAGTAGTTATACTCGTACTCAAAGTTGTATAGTTGTACAGCCAGTGCAGGAGGTTGGAATAAAGATTAGTCATTTAGAGAAAAAAAGGGTCCACGGTTAAGCCGCCGCCTCCCCCTGATTCCTTTTTAGGTTGTCTTGGCATCCATGGACATTTCTTATGCTTGAATTGTAGAGGGGATTATCGATAGAGATATTATAGTTGGAGTTGGAAACTATCGTGAATCTCTGTCTTCGATACCCTCAACCCAACGTCCACCACAACCTCGCCCCCAAAATCCAGAGATGATGCACCAAGACCCACAGGTCTCGGGCAAGGCTCGCCAATCCGCGGGCACATGGGGCGATCTCGCGGGAGCTTTGCCCGCGGATTTCACACGCCTCTCCTTTCCTCTTCAACCATCGGCGTGATGGCGGCCTCCACCCTCTTCCACCCGCGACGCGGTCTGTCGCTGCTATGCATAATAGCGACACTCAGCTTCGGCGTCATCTTCATGCTCTGGTATGGCATGAACTCCGACCGAGACTATATCCACCCGATTCTTACGCAACTGATCCCCGCTGGCCACTGCGCCTGCCAAACCTCCACCACCTTCCAATGCTCGACCTGCCTCTCCTGTCCTGAAACAGGCCTCCAGCACGACGATACTGCCCCCGGGTGGACATTCGAATACGCTCGCGACGGTCGCAATGAAGCCCTCGACAAGGAGCAGTGTAAGGCCGCTTTCCCCGGGTTGTTCGAAGACATTGCACGCGGTGGCAAATTTTGGTCGCAGCATGGTGGCTTGTCCACTGCGGAACTCGATACCATTCCTGTTCAACAGGGGATGGCGCGTGCGTTTATCTCCAATGGCGAATTATACGTGGTGGCCGCGCGGTCGAAGGGCGAGGATCACCGACGAAAGATTTTGGGGACTTTGAGTTCGATTCATCGTGCGCTGGCCGCCGACCCGGAACGAGCTTCTCGACGCGACATTGAATTTGTTTTTTCTGTTGAGGATAAGGTGGAGGATGTGACCAACCCCGATTGGCCTGTTTGGGTGTTTTCGCGCACGCCTAATGAAGAAGGTGTCTGGCTGATGCCCGACTTCAGTTTCTGGGCTTGGGATAACCCGAACAACTATATGGGTCCCTACGACCAAGTCGTGGACCGAATTAAACGGTTGGATATTCCGTGGGCAGAGAAGAAGCCCCAGTTGGTCTGGCGGGGCAAGCCAAGTTTCGCGCCGAAATTGCGACGCGCGTTGATGGAGGCCGCTAGAGGCAAACCATGGGGCGATGTCAAGCAGGTCGATTGGTCCACCGGTGAGAATGTGCTCAAGATGGAGGATCACTGCCACTATATGTTCATTGCGCACGTTGAAGGTGAGTTTGGCCGACGCGTGGATTTAGGCAGCAGCTGACTCTTGACTTTCCAGGTCGCTCCTATTCGGCTTCGTTGAAGTACCGACAGGCTTGTAACTCGGTCATTGTCGCACACAAGCTTCAGTTCATTCAGCACCACCATTACCTCCTGGTGGCAGATGGACCCAACCAAAACTATGTCGAGGTTGAGCGTGATTTCAGCGATTTGGCGGATAAGATCGAGCCTCTGGTCAACGATACCGAGCGCGCTCGACTCATCGCTAATAACAGTGTCACCACTTTCCGCGAGCGGTACCTTACCTCGGCCGCTGAAGCGTGTTACTGGCGGTCCCTGCTAGACGGGTATGCTGGCGTGTGGAACAGCACCGTCGAACAGTGGTCTGAAAGCACGCAGCGTGAACGAGGACTGCGATACGAGTCTTTTGTGCTTTTGGAGAGCCCAAAGATGTTCCAGTTCGATGCCTCTGCCACCCAGGATTGGCAAGGCTGAGGTGCCGAAACCGAAAAGAATACGGATAAAATAATTGTTAATACCCCATGCCCGTGAAGTTGGGACAGCGTCAAGTGATTTTGGAGGCGACAAGGGTCGCCTTTGCCCTTTCTTTATGTGATACCACGAGAACGATCTTCTTAGACGAATACATATCCTTTGCATACCCTGTTTTGATCTATATGAATTGCAACTCTGAGCTATTTGATATGCTCCCTCTCTATTCCGCTAATCTGTTTTCCAGGTGACCATTCTAACACAGCTAAAAGATATTTCCAACTCCTAGGCCAGTGGCCCCATTTTCAAACCGACCGGCTCCTGTAACCTTCAGTCCCAGGCAACCACCCCGTCCGAGCATTTAAGCCGAGGCCTCCAACTCAGTCAGGATAACTCGACAACCCAGCGGAGCCAGAATCCCACCCTTATACAAGTCAGCATCATCCAACCCAAACATATATCACAGAGCCAGAAAAAGAAAACCTGCACCTACCGGCGTCATCTTCAACTGATACGCAGGATCAATCACCCACCTCACCTTCTCCAACAACACAAACAAAAAGATCTTAATCTGCAACAACGCAAACCCCTGTCCAAGACACTTCCGCTTGTGCGCATTAAATGGAATATACGTCCCACGCACCGTCTCCCTCCGAAACCGCCCCTGCATCTCCTCAACCGTCTCCCCCCACCGCTCAGGTCGGAACTCGCGCGCATCTTCTCCCCAAACTACCGGGTTACTATGCACTGCCCATGCATTCCATCCCACAAAGGTGCCTTTTGGGATAGGTAGTTCGCCGCCTAACATGGCATTTTGTAATGCTACCCGATTGATGAGTTGGCATACTGGCGGGAAGAGACGGAGGAGTTCGAGGACTACGGCTGTAAGGTAGGGAAGTTTGTTGATAATCTCCTGCGAGGGATCTGGATGTGTACCCGCTGTAGCGAGGACCTCGTCTCTCAGACGGGATTGGATATCGACTCGCACGCCCAATTGCCAGAACATACTATTAACTAGTTGTTGCGTGTTTTCATGTGCTGTTAGGAATGTTATCTTAAGATTATTGCGGAATTGTTTCTCCGTTATGCGGCTGGTTTTGTAGGCCTCGCCTAGCATGTGAGAGACCAGTTTTTCCGATTTGGACTTTTGGGTGCGGTACTCTAGCATGTCCATCACCATTGCGTATAGACGGTTGTCAAACTCGTGCATTATTTCGTAGGCGCGTTTGCGGGATCGGAGGAGCCAGGGGAAGTGGTCCAGGTCTGGAAAGCTGAAGTACATTGGTTTGAAGAGGGTGGCTTTTATTATGGATTGGAGGGCTTCGATCCGGACATGGCCAGTTGGTTGGCCGAGACTCTGTACCGTGCTTAGTTGAGTATATGTATATTGGTATAGAACTTGAAATATGGGAAGACGGCATACCTTAAACTCCAAGTCCAGGAAATTCTCCCCCATAACATCAACCGCCCACTTCTGCACATCAGCGTTAACCAAGATCCCCTTACCCTCCCCAACATCCCGTTGCAATGCAATGAGAATATCAACCAACCTCCTCGACTGCCTCAGCAATGAAGATGTCTCGAAAACCTTCTTCTGCAGACCTGGTTTCATAATCGACGTAAAAAGCCTCCAGTTCTCATGGGCATTGATAATATTATCACCGACAAGCGTAGCAATAACCGAATGCGGAATCTTTTTCTGACTCCCAGCTTTCGCATATAACTGATCATTCCGAAACATATCCGTCAACCAGTCCGGCCGGGAAACGAGAACACTCCATCGTCCCGCGAACCAGACTAGGACTGCGCCGTGTTTCTCAAGTGGAGCTCGGAACCAGCGTTCGTAGATCTCGTCTTGGCCCATTGAGGACCAGAGGCCTAGGATTGAGACGTAGATTGGGATTTTGGGGAGGTTGGGGATGGTATTTGGGGTGTGGAGGTACCATGCTAGGAAGAGGACGGGTGGGAGGAGGATTGTTAGAGGGATTAGGAGTATTGGTAGCATCTCGGTAGATGTATGGAGTTTGAGTCGGAAACTAGGGAGGAAGATAGGTGGAAGAAGGGACAGCCGGGGTGATATGGTTTTGTTATGCTGGAAAACTTGTAGCGGAGTGTTTTGGTGTGCCCCAATGCACCTGGTGTCAGCGGAAGTCAACATGCCTTTGCTGAGGTCACTCATGTCCGACGTGGCGGGATTCAGCGGCTTAGTAGGTGCAAGGAGCCACGTGGGTTTTGCTTAGGATGGGGGTTTCAGATATAATCCGGAGGTGAGGTGCTCGTGTTGAGCGTAGCGCAGAGGTAAAGCCTCGTTATGTAGAAAGCCACGATCTCCATCACAAACTGCAAGTGCCCGGGTTTGAAGCTCTGGACTTCACTACCACATACTGTTGACATATTTGGAGTAATGAAATGGGCTGACAAGTGTTTGTACAAACACAGTGGAGGACTGATAGTCTTGACCATACCCTGTTCTGAGTAGGCTATAATCCAGTGATTGACAGACTATTCCAGGATGACGGCTGTGTAGTCCATTGGTCCGGTCTTGTCATTCACTCAGACTGCCGTTTGATCTCTTAGCCGTATCGTCGTGGGCGATGACTTTTTGTCAGAAAGTGGCTCGCTCGAGGTTGACGCGTCGTTTCCTGGCGATGTCACGATATCTTTTTCCTTCTGCTTTTCTTAATGACTGACCCCATTAACCGCCGGATAACCTTTGTTTATCTTCCTGGTAGTAGCCGCTGCAGGCACCGCATCCCCTTCCATCCCTCAATCTAGGGTATCCGGCATAGCACGCCAGTTGAAGCTATATTCGATCCACGTACCATGTTCTCGATTACCAGGGAGTCTGTTGTGGAGGTCTTTTGCTCCTGCGAGCTCACTGTATTACTTCTTCTGGGCAGTTTGAGCAAGCAGTGTGCCCTGGGATGCAGCAACCAGGCAAAGATCTTCAGTTTTGCAGGTTGTTACAATCCATGCCTTTGGACAGCCGACTTTTGGGCTGAGTGAGTGGTGAGGTCTTCACTGGTTATTCTTGCTGGCGTCATTACATACGACTTTGCCATGCCTTGACATCAGGCGTTCCATTTCGGCTGTGGCCGTCCCAGCGCTGTGAAGATTGAAGGGCTATGCTACAGCTCCTACAGCTCCGTAAGTAGAGAAAGTAATATCATTGGTTAATATGCAGATAGCTAGCCCGGGTCTCCTTTAAAATTGAGCTGAGATGTTTAACGCGAGAATGAAGGACCAAATGCCTGACAAACAGTCCTAGTCGTACCCTTTCTTGTATCCTTGAGGACCTAGTCACTATGGGTTATGTGCCTAGAGTCCTGTTGTAAGAGTGGACGATAAAGAAAACCCATAGACAACCGTGGCGATCATAGCAATAGCGTTTAAATGAATGACCATCGCGTGGTTTCGCGAGAAATTGCGATTAGCCCGGTCCACCTTGGACCCATTGGAGTTGGAGTCGGAATGTGTATTCTCGCTCTCTGGAGGGCAAGAAGCAATTAGTCACCATGTATCAACAGCAAACATATTCTAGCCATACGTACCATGCAGTGCCCTTCTTACCAACGCGGCAGTCGTCGTCTTCGGGCCGTACACGAGCCAATTCAGACAGCCCATCAATCCAACTACTGCGAGAGACCCAGCGCTCCAAGGATTTTTCAAAAGTGACAGGATACTGTATGGCGGGCAGGTCGCTGCCGTCAGGGCTGTCAGGCCAACCTGGGTGCCAAAGTAGACGGGGAAAAGTCGTTTTTGGAGTACGATGAATTCTTTCATCGGAAGGACCTGAAAGCAGATCTTTGTGTTGACAAAACTCTACCCACGAGGTTAGTTCGGCATTATGCTGAGGGAAGGGGTATCCTACCTGGTACAGCTCTGTTCCGAGCAGAGCACCATAGCCGAGGAGGTGATATGGTAGGAGGTTTCCTACTGTGCTCAGGAGGGAATCCATTTTGCCAAAGTCTTTTGTACCGGGATCTTGAATGGTATGGCAGGAGTTGCAACTCAAGAGAGAGAATGATGGTTGGAGGTGAGTGTAGGTTGAAGTGGTACTTTGTAGCCTAGCTATGAGGAATTCTTGGCAGCTTACTGGCTTGGGCACTAGCAAGGCAAACCTTGCAGATATAAGGTATGACTGGTCGTTGAAATTGCATCTAAGGTTTGCTTAGACTGCGCAAAACATCATGTTTGATTGGTTGGGGTGAGTGTTGTATGATGAGCCCGCAACTTCAACAACCCGAAGTGTGGTATACTGCCATATTTCCAATATGGAATTAAGAGGCAGCACAATATACCAATGTCTTGGCTTTATACCCCTTTTGAGTATAGAAAGACTGAAATGATGCTTCAAACCGACATTGGACATGTTACTTCAAGGCAATCAACATCCCTCTAGAGCATTACAGTTACACAAAGGTGACATTCCAAAGCTCACACCGCTAGCAAATAAATACAATCTTCCGAGTTCCTACAGCTGGATCTCACATGCATACATTTCAAGTGAGTGGGCGGTCGTTGAAACACCACATGGCAGCGTCCTATGGCTATTCGAGATTTTTTGGAGTGCGCGGGGAGTTGCTAATCCGAGGATGAATTTAAGTTGAGATGCGAATTCTATATTACCGATGACACTACTGTATGCATCACTCTCTGAGGGGGTTTAGGATATGTCCAACGCCATAGTTCGGTATATTGAACCCATTCGGCTATTCATGTAACCTTCCTAACCAGAACCGAGAAATGAGAGAAACACAAGACACTTGGGTCAAATCCGGAGTATATTCAGTGTTAATTCTTTATTCTAGCCATATCAAGTGGCCAACCCCCGACGTGTCTCTTATTTTTAGACTTCAGATTGGGCCAAGTTGTACCGGCCCCAAAGTTGAGTTCTTGTAAGCACAGCCTGGTTTCCCTGTTCTATCCTGGGACTGTGGTGAGCTGCTCAGGTGGGAAGAATGCCAATAAAAGATCATCACTGAGCCTCCGCATGAATACAAGATCCAGGATCAATCAGTGTTGCGTTGCCACGTGGATCCTAAGCCTACCAGGGAGAATGAGTTGACATCGGAGATGTCCGAGACTACCAAATGATACTTTTTGCGCCACAGGTTGGTTCTAAGGTATAGTTAGGTGTAATTGTTCACTCAAAGTAGTAAGATGTGTAGGTAGGTTTTCTCGACCAAAAGGTAGTACAGCCAAGAGCTCCAAGCAAGGTTACAGGACTCGGATAGAAGACTTTCGACCGCTAGGACACAGATCAAAAGCGAGGGTTTCATGAGCTATTCCAGGCTACTGGAACGGAGGAACGAGAGACGGAAGAATTCCAGGCAGCGCCATGTTTATGAACACATTCGGACCCGGGATAGCCTCGGACAGCACCTTCTCGTACAACCAAGCCCTAAACCTTCTGACACGTTGTCCAAGATCCCTACACAAACCCACGCTGAAATGGTAAGCCAGCTGAAAATGGCATGCGACATGGTAGGCCCCAGGGCGTCACGCGGCTGAGATCGAGAATGATCTATCACCAGTCGTTTTCGAACCGAGTCTCTGGCGGCGATCTGTTGCACGGGCTGCGTGACACGTTAAGATCGACTGTGATTGCTCGTGGGTGCACGTCCTTTATAAAGAAAAGGCGGCAATGGCCATTTAGGGGTTAAGTTTCCGAGGTTGACGACGGAAAGCCTGTTTCGGGTCTTCTATATGAGATATGCAATATCCCCAAGCACGTCAACACCCGCAAAAGCAATTACACGACTGGATATATTGCTTGCAAAATGAAGATGGAGCATAATCCTGCAACTCCCAAGGAGGAGATTCCCAGCCAGCTGCAGGATCCCCTGGAGAGGAGAAGGTTGCAGAACCGCCTTTCTCAAAGAAATCACCGTAAGATTTTCCCTCAATAATATGTCTGGAAGTCCCAAGATAACAATATCTAGGTCGCAAAATCAGAGATCGAATTGCAAAGCTCCAAGAGCGCGTCATTGCTAATGAACTCAGAGCAGCAGCAGCCAGCGGCTTGGATCAGCAATATATACCGTCACCTTTGCCACACAACACACACACAGCGCTATCCGAAAATGATCTTGGGTTTATTTCCCGAGGTGTTTCTCCCCTAGGAATAGAGCCATCCACGCCTTTCATGCCGTCATACCCCATTCTCTCATCCACTTCGTGGCCGAGTGATTTCAACGCCTTCCCCACAGCTGGCTATCATGGAGAATTGCCACCCTATCTTGGAGGAGGAATCTTGACCCATTCAAATGGGATGCCATCGTCCACTACAGCTGGTCTGGGTGAAGATACATACCGAGATACTATTCTACCCACTGGAGAGGCCTTGCCGCCAGATTCATTACTTGCACTGCAGGAAAACCAGCCTTCTTACTATGTTGCAACTGGTGAGCGTGGATCTATCGAAGCGGTATATTGAATCAAATATTGACTAATCAGCAGAGGCCGCGCTCCCCCAAATTCTCCAGGTTATCAACACCACGTCACCTCAGTCAAAGGTAATTGTCTTGGTTCCTCCAACGTCTCCGGCATCCGCATGTATACCATCTTTTCCGCCATCAAACTCATACACTAGATTTGAAAATCCTGCTACGGTGGCGCAACAAACTCCGCCCAGACTGACTTGTCTTTGCCACCCTCAGAACATACATTATAGGTCTTGGATGGATGCGGGATCATACATGCAAGAATGTCCTATACATAAGTTTTCGAATTCCTCGGCAGGGGGTTTTCCTGTTAGAATGCTGTAAGGGTTTCCGGCTCGGTATCATGATAGAGATATTATATCATCGGAAACGAACTGTAATTAAATAAATGGCATGCGCATCTTTCATTAATGGCTTGAGTGACATGAAGAACAGTCAGAAATGTAAGGTTGTCCTATATCTTGAACGTAATAGTTATTTAGATCAAGTCTGATTGGAGTGGGAATATTAACGATGTGGAGCTTTCCTCTAATGAGACCCAGGGATTAATATACAAGAAATAGATTTAACTAAGTGGTCTTCCTTTCACATAATACTCGAGTAAAACTTTGTGAATTGCATATCTTGACTAGCATACGAGACAGCGGTTAGTTAGTACATGGGGCGCACAGTCAAATTATTAACCATGAATGAGTTCTGAGACATGAAAATCAGAGTCTAATTCAGATTCCTTTAAAGTTTGTTTATAATTTCTTCGGTATAGTTCACAATTTGGATCTAAACAAGCTGGACATGTGAACACAAACGAGTGGCAACCACAAACCGAAAAGAAAACGACAGTATATCATCCAAAGCAACGCAAATGATGGAAGATATCTAATCACAGTGAATACGCCACAACTCGCGATTACAGTTACTGATATACCCAGTTCGGGTATGCAGCATAGCTGTATTGTCGCTGACCAGCAGATCACCCTTCTCCCACCCGAACCGTAGGCACACACGATAGTCATACGTGATACGATCCACGACTTGGACCAGACTGTTGTCATCGTTCTCTATTGTAACGTCGCATGTAGAGAATTTGGTCTTTGTCTCGTCCCATGGCTGATGCCATCGCAGGCATGGTGAACCAGACACAGGGTGCTTCACAATCAGCTTCAAACTCTTAAGCTTCGCATCCCAGAACCCATTGTTATCCATAGCCCAGGTGGTCTTTTCGAGGCGTTCAGCTGACCATGGCAGAGGCAGATACCGGAAGAAAAGGCGTGAACTTGTGAACAGGGTGTATCCATTGCCCTTGGGCGCTGTAGCTGGGCAAGTAAAGAATTGGTAACCTGGCGGGCGCTGGATTTTCTTCTTCTCGCCTGTTTCAGGATCGGTGATCTCCTCAAACTTGAACATACCGTCAAAGTGCATTGGCATGGCCTCGTTGGAGGTGACGTTGTTGCCCATCTTGTCTGAGCGGCCAACGTCGCGGACCTTTTGGATGATACCAAAGCTCCATGGGAGGATGGTGCCCAGCTCCGATGCCTTCTGGACGTAGTACTCTTCCTCCAGGGTCTCTGCAAATCCTCGGAGGATGATTGGAGACATACTGTTGGAGAGCTGCCGGACCTTTTGCATAGGAATGGAACGAATAGATGGCCGTGCGTTCACGTTGTCGATGTCAGCGGGGCGAATGACGAGTCCACATGGATATAGATGCTCGAACTTGACCGACAGGCCATCCGCAGTCCAGTCAAAGAGCTGCGACTTTTCACGGAAATAATATGGCTGTCCGTTCTTATATACCACGTCGTGGGTTTCTCTTACATCCTCGGCATGGACGGTGCGATATGAACCATCGAGGCCAACCGCCACAGAAGCATGCCAAGGCGTGTGCCCGAGAACGCCACGAAGCTGTGGAACCAGTGAGACAGAAAGCTTCTTCTGGCCAGCAGACTCGTGGATGGAAAGTCGCACGTAATCCTTGCGGTTGGCTTTAATAGCCGCTGCGAACATTTTACCGCGAATGATCATCTGTCGCGCTGTCTTCGCAATCTGCGTCTGTCGAGCGCGCTTGGACGCAAACTTGCTCTCGTCTTGATGAGCAAGATCCTTGGTGAGGAACTTGATGTAGCCACGATATGTTAAACATGTGTCGTTGTCGGTTTTGATGGCCACGTCCGCGTCAAATGTCGGATCGCCGAAGGCATACATCAGCTCTCGGCGGAGACAACTGGCATGGGCTAGATAAAAAGCCTTTGCATCCTCTGGGGTTGATGTTGGGAACCAAGGATGCTCAAGAAGCTCGAAGAGCCGAATAAACTTGACATGATGGAGCTCTTTTTCGGCGGCCATCTTGCGCAGCGTCTCTCCATAGTCCCAAACGGTTTCATCCGGGACGCCGAGAATATCTAGTGGGGTATCAGTACCAATAAGAATCAAGACATTAAGATTGCTTTAACTTACCGTTGTACACAAGTCCATCTGAACTGATGTGTACATGGGCGCCGGGCTCATATACATCGGCGATGTTCTGGCACAATCCATTCAAATGAGAAAGTGCCAGCTCCTCACCAAAGTCGGGCATGTTGCCCAAGACTTTATCGCGTGCATTCGGGGACTTGAACGGGAAAGCAGGCAGGATCATGCGAATAGGCTCCTGTTTCTCGATTTGGGCCAGGACAATAGGAACGAACGAATCGAAGCCTTTCCAGGAAACGCCCGATTTTTCGAAATCGACTCCATAGCTTTCGATAATCTTCAGAACTTCCATGGCCATTTTTTGATCTTTAGACAACGTGTCTGAATCTGACGGGACGATGGGGTCTTTGGGCACATTTTGTTCCAGTAGTGTAGGCCCGTTCCCGTTTGCGGTTATGGCAAAGTGATCGTCGCTGTCAGGCTTGGAAGATACCACCTCTACGGTATCAACAAAGATCTCCTGATTGGCCTTATCGTCTGTGAAATGGGTAATTCCATTCTCTGTGAGTCTGGGGAGGAACGTGGTGGAGACAATATCCGCAAGGGGTGCCAAAGAAACCATGGTGACTTGAAGTACAACGTGCGTTCCCACTGGAGATATCTGGAACTGACACTATTTTACCCGAGGGTGTCAAAAGAGAAGATCTTTGATTTGATAAGTAGTTGAAGTGTTTCTTTTTGGATTCGGAGAGACAAAGATATCTCTTCAGTCCGAGCCACATGGTAATATATACCTCCCATCTGCGGAGATATGGCCGTTGAGCAGCAGCTTGAACAGCCCAGCTCTCGTGTCGATGACTGTGGCCCTGATGCGGACTCAGCCTTTAGGACTGAGGCTGAACCTAGGACATCCCAGGCATGAACGCTAATTGATCTGTACAACTTTGAGGGTGTGTTGTCTCCACTCCATTTTGTCTTCAGGATGAGTTAGGTGTCGGGCGGAACTGCAAAACAGGCACACCCTGCTTGAAACTGAACAGAAAAAGAGATTTTGCTGAGCCGAGAGGCTGAGAATGGAAAACATTGATGTGATATCGTGCGGAAAGTGTCACCAAAGCTCGTGTAGAGCCGCCCTGGATGGGTGGCTTAAACGATATTCCCAGACACAGGCCAACGGTGCCTTGTGTTTTTATCGTATTTGATGACTAGGCATGCGTCTTTTTCTGAAACTTGTTGGTCATGCAGAATGCTTAGCCTATACATCTTTGTCAATGATGTCTTTGTAGGGCTCGGGGTGAGCGGCCATGTACCTTGGACCAGGAGGAAATGAAGGCAATGTCTTCGGGACGTTGCACATGACGACCATTTCAAACGAGTGTAACATATTGTAGGCTGAGCTTCATGTCCCCTATCGGTCAAAAGAATACTCGGTCTGGCTGAAGGTGTGGAGATGCCGACGGGTTAAGTCCAAAAATGGAAGTTGGCCGCCAAAGTCTCGATAGAGCCCGACAGTGTGGTGCATATTTTGCAGATTTGGGCTGTGAAACTATGTATTTTGGTTGCTTTCATTGGGCGAACAGTCGAAGAAGGATTTCCTACTGCGTGACATACGTTGAACTCGGGGATCGCGCAATCAAGTATAGAATATCGCCTATTGTCTCTCCAAGGCAAATTACACTTATCTGTACATAGCTGTCAGATGCTACTGGAGACCTGGTACCGTAATAAACTTGTATCTCGTATTTTTCTAAAGACTGACTTTCGTACTTTGTCTTACTGAAGCCTCAACTCATACACTAAACTCACGCCAGTCATACTCCATGACTCGAACCACAAAATTAGCCATCTCAGCCGTAGTCAATTCGCGAACGATGTGGCAAGTGGCGTCTAAACCCGAGCTTATCCCACCGGCCGTAATGAGCCTAACACTACCACCCCTCAGCAAACCACCATCAATATAGCGCTTATGCACGACATTAGTCGCTGCGGCCTCCGCATCATTTGACCGAGCGCATATCTCCCGGAGTCTGTCAAGTCCGCGGTGGTGGGTTGTCACAGTCATTCCGGTAATAACACCGGCAGCACCAAGTAAGAACGCACCGGTGCAAACCGAAAACAGAATTCTGGTGCCTGATGAGCTCTGGGGAAGGGCCGCAAATTTGCGGATCAGATCCAGCTCCGGTACGTTGTCACCGAGAAGCGGCTCTAAAATCGAAGATGGTCCACCCGGAACAATCAGGATGTCAAATTCTGAGACTTGCTCGAGGGCTTCGGGCAGGAGGATATCCGCGTGAACTGTTAGTGAGCCTGCTGCTCGGTTGACTGGGCTGCGGGCGATAGTCTTGATGTCGAACATCCTGTCCGGGTTGTCGGGATTGCGGTTGTGCGAGACATGAGAGAGTACTTCCATTGGACCGGCAAAGTCGAGGATATCTGCGCCTTGAAACAGCAGCACCCCGACCTTGTAGTATTGATTTGGTGGTACAGATGACATGTTCCACGTGCTGGTACAAATCACGAACTGATCTCGCGGGATAGAGTGAAGGCTTTGTTGAAAGGGTGCTGAAAGGAATGAATGAGAACAGTGAGTGAGATTTAATGATAGAGGTCGGGACTAGTCTTGGAAGCTTATAAATCCAGAGGTTCAATTTACCTCCGCGGAGAGTTTCTTACTCCGCTGACTCCGGTCAAGGACCGACGTTATACCAACTTGATCTCCGTATCCGCCGATTCAACGACCAACAATACCTGCAGTGTGTCCAATGATATCTACCGTGTTTAGCGTGGTTGGGAACGAGTCTGTCTCAGCCTACCGGTGCAGGGTTCCCGGGGTTGTATGTCTCTCACCCTTGCTGCGAGGGGCTGTTAAGGCCACCCAAGTTAATCAGCAGGTTTTGACCACATCCTGATTGGTGATCTCATCCTTCGAAGCCAGTACACCAAATAAAAGTCCCTGTCATTTGTAATGCTTCAAATACCAAGAAAGCTGCCAGTTAGGGCTTATATTAGTCATTCGGGATGTGGGCGAATTCTTGACATCCACCCGCAAGGTCGGGCAGTGGGGGAAGATGAACGCAAAGAGTTGATTATGGAGTTAAAAGGATCATGTAGCCATATTCTAGTTCGAGCCTGACTAGTTTTGTATATATTTTGACCATGACATCCCCGGACTACAGTAACCACTTCTCGTTGGCCAACATCCCGTTCGGCATAGCATCATCTCCGAGGCATCTTACTCCGCAATGCGTTACTCGGCTAGAGAATACCGTCGTTTTCCTCGGTGCGCTTCAACAGTCTGGTGCCTTTGTCAAGATCTCCGGTCTTCCTGTAGGGGTATTCAGCAAGTCCACGCTCAATGAGTTCGCTGCACTTCCGAAGGCTGTCCACCGCGAAGTACGGACTGTGCTGCAGAATATCTTGATTAAGGAGTTGCCTTCAAGCAGCACCGAGGATATTAGTGCAGTCATTCTACACCTTCCCGTATCGGTGGGTGGGTTCACAGATTTCTCATGCAGCCTTCACCATGTCCGAAACGCAGGTCGGGCAATCCTCAACGACGAATCCCCACCTCCGGGCTTCTTTAATTTCCCGATCGGGTATAATGGTCGTTCGAGTACAGTGGTAGTCTCCGGGACTCCAATCGTCCGTCCAAAGGGCCATTTCTTTGATCGGACTGCTACCAGCGAGAAGAAACCGATTATATATGGCCCATGCAGAGCGATGGACTATGAGCTGGAGGTCGGTGTGATAGTAGGAAAGGGTGTGCCGAAACAACAGGGGGTGGATGCCAAAGATGCGGATGAACATATCTTCGGAATGGTCATTTTGAATGATTGGAGTGGTGAGTACAACGTGATTTCCGACGAAGTAAAAGCAGCAAGACTGACTCAATTGTAATTCTAGCACGCGATATTCAAGGGTGTGAGATGGTCCCACTAGGTCCTTTGAACGGCAAGGCTTTTGGGACGAGCATCTCCCCATGGGTGGTGACACTGGATGCCCTCGAGTCATTCAAGGCGTCTGGACCAAAACCTGAGGCTGTGCTTGCTAGTCATTTGGAAGATGTCTCAGGGTCCGAGTCCAACTATGACATCGGAATGAAGGTGGAACTTTTGAACGAAGGACAGATTACAACTCTCAGTGAATCTAACACCCGTGATCTTCACTGGAGTGGACGTCAGATGTGCGCCCATCTTGCCAGTACTGGAGCGGACCTTCAGACTGGTGACATCTTGGGGACAGGCACAGTCAGTGGACCAACTGACGGCAGCTTTGGCTGTTTGCTTGAAGTTACCAAGGGTGGGAAGGAACCTGTGTTTCTGGCAAATGGCTCGAAGCGATTTTATTTGCAGGACGGAGATGTGATTCGCATGACTGCTTTGGCTGGAGCGCCTGGTTCCGGTGTTGGGTTCGGTGAGTGCGTTGGGGAGTTAAGGCCCGCAACTTGATTTCGAAATAGAGCGGGATATAGATTCATTATGTAGCACAAAGACGAATTATTTCATACGGGGAAGAAATATGTATGACCAACCCAAAAGTTTTCCGGTGATTCCAGTCCCAGGAAAGGGGACAAATCTTTTGCAGATAGCAACAATTATGAGAAACCTAAAAGACTCCAGCGCCACGCTGAAGATAAACAAGTAAAAATCAAAAACTTTCGAACGAATGATCCATCTCAAGCTTAGCCCCACAACGGAGGGTGAATGTACTCTGATGCCCGATCCAAGATATTGGGAATTGTCCATTCGCCACTACCAGAGCTTTCTGGCGTAGGGGGTGGCAGGGAACTGACACTAGGGGTCATGCTAGCAGGCGGAGGAGCAAATGCCCCCATTGAAGTGGAATTTGGATTGAGGTTGACCTGAGAGAGATATGCTGGCGCGCCGCCGCTTCCAGCAGCAGGTCGTGTGTGTGGATTGCCGAAGGCAGTGAGCAGCTTCTGTAGAGCACGATGAGTTTTCGCTAGCGACTTGGCCCATTGGGTTTGCGTATCGGCGGGCATTGCAGCAGGAGATGTTGGATTCATTGCGGGGGCAATAGAGCCTGGTGGATTCGTGGCGCCGGTGATCGGGTCGTACGTTCCCATGGCCTGGGGCGGCGAGGTCATACCGGCCACAGTGGCGGCGTCTGCGGATTCATAGGCTCTTTCATTGCTGGCTCTTTGAGCAATGATCCCCTCAAGTTGGTGTAGGAGATTCCAGACAGTCGGGTCCGATTTGGCCTCCTCGATGACAGCAAGAAGGAATGCCGAGCTGATTGCCCGCTGCAATGCAATCCAGGAACGAGCCGAATGAGAGCTAATGTTGTGCATCTCGATGTAAGCTTCGACGGTCATCATCAAGTTCAACACGCAGTCCCTGCGCACGCCAGCAGTGCCGGAGTCATTGGCATCATTCATAGGTTTGAGAGCTGGTCGGCAGAGCTCAGAAGAAAAATAGGAAGAGTGTAACTTGAGTACAACTCGCTCCAAATGCTCCGTGGGTGTTTGACAAAACTGTGCGTCGCGCAAGTATGGCTTTGCTTCTATCATGATTTTGGAAATTCGTTCCTTGTAGGTTTGGATACTTTCAAGGCTGAACTGAGCGTGTGGGCTCAGCATGCGAATGCGAACAACCTCAAGTGCAAGAGAAATGACTCGACAGAGGGTTTCAAAGTAAGAATAGTCGCCGCGCTTGGATCCCTCTTTGTACGCAATCTCTGGTTGGCTGACTGCGGTTGTGGAGGGGCGATCATAGGAAAGAGAAAAGTGGCTATCTTGCCATGCCATGGACCACCTGTTTGCGTCAGTGCTGTGCTTTTGGGTAAAAGGAGGTGATGGCTTACCATGTGTGTCGTCGGCGGTATCGTTCAGCTGATGAAAATCGACTTGACTCAACATGTAGTCCAAGCGCCAACCCCATGCGAAGAGTCATGCCGAGCAGCACATAGGAAATTCCAGGATTCATGTTATAGGACAGAACATTGCCAATCACCAAGAGAGTCTGAATGGCTTCTATGGTGGGCTGGGATAGGAAATTTGTCATTCGGAGACACTGGTAAGAGCAACACACTGTGACATAATTAGCCAGCAATCCAGGGGAAGAGCTTGGAGTTGAGGACATACCATAGACCTGTGAAGTCAATTCTCTCTCTTTGCTGCCAAGATCGGATGACTGGCATCCGGAGGCAAGAATAGCAAACAATAGACCCAGGTAGGCAATGCTTACTCCAAAGGGATTTTCAGCCTCATCGGTATCCGTTCGGTACTCGCCTCCAACAGAAATTCTGGTCTGTATTAAAAGTTCGAGAGTATTTTCAAACGCAGAAACGTCTTCCAACACAGGATATATCGCTCCTGAGATCTCCTTATAGCAGTAGAAGAATCTGTAACAGTCAGTCTAATTGCCCCAAGGGTGAAATAACATGACTACTCACACTCTGCATTGCTCGTCGGAAGGAAGGGCGCTGCAGACAGCACTGATATCGAAAGTCGACATATCTGATGACCATAGATCGACAAATGGATAAGTCGCAGACTCATTATCCAGACCCAGCTTAGGTAGTATTCCTCCCTCCAAAAGAGCTTGCAGCTGATCGGAGCCAGATTGGTTATTCAAGATATAAGCCAGAACGGACCGGGATCCGAGATGAACAGTGCCTTTGCCCAGAGTATTCGCAGCATGGATGCCCTCGCGTTCCGGCGAAGCACCCTTGGAGCGGGAACTCGCATCGCCACTCTGCACGCTTCCAGTTTCCAGAGAGTTCGGGGCATCTTCAGCCCTTTCCAATCCAACGCGAAGGTTGGAAATGGTAGTTTCCATTTCTTTCAATCTGTTGCGCACATTGTCCCATTCCTCGCGGGCAATCGACACCCGACCGCCAGTAGCCGCGCCATTCGATCGAGCTGGTGCCGGTTCCTGTTTCACGCTTACCGGGGCATCATCGTACGGATACCCGGCCGAATAATCTACCATAGGTGCTGTCGATGCACTGTCGATTGAAGGGCCCTCATGAAAAGCCTGCGAGCGTTTCTTCGAAGGGCGTTCGTAGGAGCAAAGATCTGCATGGTCGCGCTTGACGCAGCCGTCGCACGGCAGATTGCGATCGCATTTGACCTTCCGCGCATGACAAGGATAGCAGGCTTTGGGTTCGCGCGCTTTGCGCTTCGTGCGAATTATCGCGTCAACTTGGGCTTGCGGTAAATCGGAGACCGATCTGCTGGAAGCCGTGGCCATGTCGGAGCCAAGCGGGGTTGCGAACGAGGCTGATGATGGATAGGGCGACGTCATTTTGTCTCAATGAAAAACTTTTAGGTACGATATATCCTTAGTCAGTCTCGAAATATGTGTGTCGGCACCGGGGTTTCATTCGGTCATTGACATGAACCGGGGGATCGGAAGCGACTTGAGGTTTGACGGTGGACTCAAGAAATTGGGGTGGAGTATAGGTTCATTAATCCATTAGAGAGCGCGGGACAGCATGTCAGGTAATTGAAGCTCAATTTGAAATTGCGCGCAAATTGTTTGAAGAAGCTGGGGTCCAGCGCTCAGGCATCTTATCTGCTGATCGCACGTGACGTGGGGTGTCCAAATGCGGAATTGTGCCCTATGTCGGCGTATTGGACCGAGGTATGTTGGAGTATCCAGAAGGCTGTAGCTGTAGGTATCTAACAATCTATGGCACAGAGAAAATGGAAAATTATGACAAGATTTGTGTTAACAAGAAGACGGCCAGTAATCTCTATCTTGCAGTCATGCCGACGGAGCTATATAGATATTGTAGTGGTGGAACCAGTGACAGTAGTACATTGGAGGCCTGAGGTATCACGAATGCCTCATGCAGTCTTCTCAGGTCACGGCTCATGAGGGCCCCACTCAGCAACCAGTAGGGTGCTCAAGTCACGTGTCAGGCATAATAGGGTGCTTGCCTGAGGAATTTTGCTTACGTTATTGTTGTTTTGTTTTGAAATTCCTAAATACCTAAGAAATTTGACACTGTATTAGTACAGTACTAGTAGATAAATAGGCCGTTTTTCTACAAGTTTTATGATCGAACCTCAATCATGCCTCCTCCTAAGCCCGTACACCCCTACCAGTCGTCATATTGGTGTCAAAAAGACATGAAGCTTAGAGAGCTTCTTATAGCTTGTCCAACAGAAGATCTTCCACGCTCTACGTATGAAGGTGATTCAGATATATATAATGAGACGGATGACATATACCGGCGGGATCGGGCCATATACGTTGTGAGTTTATTCTACTAGTATACTACTAGTAGACTCTAAGCTAATATACTAATTAGGGCAGTACCGCAATACCAACTCCACTAACAATGGCACAATCGAACCCTCTTTCCGCGGTAGAGGTAGAGCATGTTCCTCTCCTACCCGAATATCCATCTACGCATCAGGATGGGTATGCATATATCGTAAACCTACGGCATATGACATTAGAGGAAAAGGGCGCTGCCTTGTGGGGGGTAAGTAGTGATACTAGTACGATACTAGTACGCTACTAATATGTTCCTAGTTCCAATATTGCCGGAAACGCGAATCTAGCCCCCGAGCTATCTATTGCTCATTCCTAGGCTGTACTGTTCGGAAGTACGAGTATCAATGCAATGGCATCAAGCATTGTGAACAGCTTCACGACTTTCTCCAGGACCTAAACCATACCGAGGTCAACCAAGACGTTATTAGTAGGATCCTTTATTTCCGGAAACAGAACCACGAAAGTAGCGATTTTACCGCGAGTCAACGAAAAGCAGTAGGGCAAGTTATATAAAGGGCTACTACTACACTAGTCACTAACTAGTATTAGCATGTTTAACACTACGAAGCAACGGTTTCTTGACCTTACATCTTGTGTTAAGATCAATGGGACCTGCGAGGTAGTGTATAAGGTTCATCAGCATCTAGTAAGTCTATATTTAAGATAGTGTACTAGTCACTAACTAGTATATAGGACATTCATGGCAAGCAGATCCCATATATCGCATGCCGTAACCACAACTCTAAGAATCCGAATGAGCATTTCTATCAGAGCTTCCAGTTCCTTCGGCAAGTGATTGATATATCGCTTCTAGAGCATCTATTTAAGAAAGGAGCGCTAGATCCAGACGAACACACCGACAACAATCCTTCCGAATTCATCGAGGACCGAGCGTTGCCGTATGAAATATAAGCTATACTCTTATAATAGTATACTAGTCACTAACTAGTATATAGACACTGCTCACTCTACTAGCCGTGGGAAGATTGTCTCACAGCTTCCTAGCTATAAAGTCAAATTTCGAATGCTAGTTCCACTTGATCTAGAAACGCATCCGTATGCAATCTTCTATTCTCGTGGAATTCATAATCACCCGCCGCCGCCGCTAGTAAGACCGCCAGAAGATTTATCGCCGAGATCTCCTCACTTCTCGCTCGTATGCGGACTCCTGATCTTACCCTAAGTAAGTTATGTCTCTAACTAGTATAGTACTAAGGACTTACTAGTGTGTAGGCGTTTTCCTCCGTAGCCCTAAGCTCCGGGATTTCTGTACAACATACGGGGCATATACCTTATCAGAGATCCACCAAAGCTTTGCTAACCGAGAGAGATTCTCTACGATTATTACAAAGCAAAGAGCTCTTTCTTATCCCCAAGGTAGAGAGCTCGGAGGCGTTCGTTTCGAACTTGCGCATAATCCACGATGCAAGGTATAGTTTACTAATACTATACTAGTGATATACTAATAGAATTTAGGAGTATGTCCGTGATATAGTCGAGAACGAGCATGGTATCTTTATATATTGTGCACTTGACGAGCAACTCCGATTGCTTGCTTCCTTACACTCATTTGAAGTTAACATATCCTATAAAAGGGTAAAGGGCATATTCAATAAGGTTATATTCGCTACCTTTGTTGAGAAGCATAGAAAAGGTAAGTGGGAGTTCGAACTAGGCTAATACTACTAGTGGCTAACTAGTGTGGCACTAGTCATAACCCTACTACGGGTATATACCGATATGGAATCGGCGTCAGGCTATACATCTTTGTTTTCTCGAGCGTTTAACCTTGTTAAGGAGTGTATAGGCGTTGAAATCAAATTCCACTATATACATGGTAGTGGAATACGAGCAATCGTCACTGATATGTGTCCAAAGCAGATGTCGGGTGAGTTTTTCTAACTTATACTACTAATATACTAGTTAACAACTAGTACTAGGTATCGGTCAGATGCTTGCAGCGTCTACTCAAGACCTCGGCTTCGATCAAGACTGGCGATGGCACTGCATAAATATCCTTATATTCTGTAGGATTCATTATATGCGTACAGTAGTGAAAATGGTCCCAGAGTCTACGCTTGATACTTCGTGGGTCGAGAGACGGCATCCCCTAATAGCGCTCCCAGATAGCCCAACGCAACAGGAATACCGTACTTTAACGTCGCTAATTAAGGGTATGTACTAGTATAGGCCTAGTATATAACTAGTATACAATCTTAACTAACTATTCTATATTAGAGAATACACCCGAATTCGCGGATTGGGCTACACATAAGGAGATTACCGTGATTGCCGCTGGCCTCTGTCAAGCTTTCTCCTTAATAAAGCCAGAATTCTTTAAAGCAACAAGGAATCATACTAATGCGGTCGAGCAGACCCATTATAAGTCTTACTGGATGGGTACCCGGGATTCGCTTCTTCAGGCTGTTCAATCGTAAGTACACTCACTAGTGCCGTATTAGTAGGTTACTAATATATATATATATAGGTCGAGGATCCTTGATCAAACTGATATAGATCAGTACCATGGCCGGGAAAACTTCGATATTTTACCTAGATAGCAATCAAGTTCGCTAGAGACGCGGTATAACCGGATACAGGCCCGTGGGAGTAAGTTATCTTAATACACCACTAGTGTAGTACTAATATAATATAGAAGCAAAACAAGCAAAACGGCTCCGAGAGCAAGAGGCCTATGAGGATATCCCTATACAAGATCGAGAGCTATACGAAGCTAGTTCCTCGGGACATATAATCCAGCGTCGAGGGACGAAAAAGTCTAAGCAGGTTTCCTCTTCTACTAGGTGAGTTTAATTACTAGTATACCACTAGTTGCTAACTAGTTCTAGACAAGAGAAGTTACAAAGCCGGCAAATAGAGCTCGACGAGAGGAATATAGCACTTCGGGAGAGAGAGGTAGCATTTAATGAGCGAATGAAATTGAAGGAGATAGAATTAAGGGAGAGGGAACTAGTTATACGTGAGAGGGAATTTAATTAAATTGATATAGTAGTCCTACAATATATTTGATGCGATTATTTAAGATATTCGACTAGTATAACACTGGTATATAACTCCAATTTAATATCATTTATAATTTTTATAGCCTACTAAGTCCGAAAATAGTAGTAAGGATAGAGTATTAATTCAAAATGTATTCAAAATGTAGTTAAAAAAGTAATTAAAAAGTATCAAATCGAGGGTATCATTGTAAAGTAACGTGAGAGATATCTAACCGAGGCCATAAGGTCCTGTACTAGTAAGTAACCGGTCGTATCTACTCTTCATCCTCGTCATCCTTAGGACGGTGGGTCCAGGCGGAGATATCGAACTCGTCGAAGTGCTCGCAAGATCCGAAACGGGTAGTGTGGCAGCATCCTATACTAGTTAGATAGTAGTAAAGAAGTAGTATATTAGACTTACCTTTAGTCATACTAGCATCACGGCATGGGACACAGGGAACTGCCTTTCCTAGATCCTGACGAAGCTGGCGGATCATTTCGGTCACAGCAATCTATCTCGATATATTAGCTCACTAGTATAGCACTGCTATTGTAGTAGTACTCACGTGGCCATCACGACGGAGGGGAATTAGGGGCAAGACAACGGGCTGGGTAGCGGCGATCACAGCTTGCTGAGCATTGTATGCGTCAAAGGTAGGTTGATAGAAGTCTATTATAGTTAGCACTAGTATTAGACTAGGGGAATATTGGTAAGACATACCACGGAGAGCCTCTCTCTCGGTAAGCAAGGTGCGGCGGCCACCACCACTAACTAGTGGGTAGCTAGTCAAATAGAACTTCTTGTAATGCTTGCGGAGGTTATTGGTGCTAGTCTCAGGAGCCTATATACTAGTCAGTGACTAGCGCTTCGTCTCTAAAGTAAGACAGGTAAAACTTACTTCCTTAGGGCAGCCAGGGACGCGGCAAAAGGTCTCACAGACGTACAGGGTGTAGGCGCCGTCCTCCTATATCAATCTCAGTATAATGCCATCAGTATCACACTAGTATACTGACGTTGGGAGGGCCCAAGGGGGGAGGTTCATGGTAGCGGAGCTGCCCTGGTCACAGTACCACTGGAAGGCGGCCTTTCACCGGAAATGTCAGTTTTCAGCTTCATTTCATCAAGAAGGGAGCCTGCTTACCGCGTTCTCGAGTATTCTGGCCATTCTGACTAAGCAGATACTGGTAGTGGAGGAGTATGGTGATGTATCGGGAAAGGATCAAGTGAAATGCCGGAAATGAAAGGGATGAAATGAAATGTAAAATAGATTTCAAAAAAAGTGGGTCCAATTGCTGCCTGAGGTTGAGCACCCTACTGGTTGCTGACTAGGGCCCTCATGAACCTACACCACGCTGACTAGGGCCCTCATGAACCTACACCACCAGTCTTCTCTCGCAAGAGAGATTAGCGTCATTATCATCATCCCAATATGACTACAGTTCTTCACCAGATTCTTCATTCATGATATAACCTCAAGTCCAGTACGATCGCCACCTACAGGGACAGCTCTCTACGCCTGAGCTGAGCGTGGGAGTGGTTGATTGCGTTCTCTCTTCATTGATATCGACCGCCTGCTATGCCACACTGCCACCGTGCCATCCCCATTTCAATATACAATTTTGGCTGATTGACTGAGTCACTCACTATCTCAATGGAGTGGCTCTTTTCAGTCTCCGATGAACAAAAAATTGAAATGGCTCTGGTAGGCTTGTTCTGGTGTCAAGTTGTGGAAGGCTCAATCGTCACTATTGCCAATGGCCCGAGCTACAGAATACCGACCGGCATTCTAGTAAGAGTTGAATACTCGAGAGTAGGCCTCGTATAAGTTATCCCGCAGAGTCCCGTCAAACTACCTAGCTTTGTCAACAGTGCTCATAAAAGGTGTAGTGATCTCAATCAACGGATTGAAGACCCAGTTCAGCATGCCTGTGGCCTATTCTGGTCTTCTGTTCTCAAATCAAAAGGAGGGAATCAATTTCTTTCTTTATTGTTTTAAGCATTGCTGAACAATCCCAACCGTCTGAAACTCTCGTTTCTCTCCACCATTGAGATTTCCTCATCTCTGCCTATTAGGGTGTGGCCTGCAAAAGCTTCACAAGGGCTAACATGTTTTGATGAATTCGATTGGATCTATACTAGCGATGGGGAACCAATCCTTGGTGGTAAAAATCGTTTAGCAAAACAAATTCCACGCACTAAACGATACCACCCCCTAGACTCATATGGAAAGCCTATCGCATGGAGAAATTTGTCCAGAAATGGCTTTTAAACTTGGCCATGGGTCTTGAATGTTTCCATACATGGCTCTGAATTGTTTTGGGCAACTATCTTCGAATTTCTTTAGGGGTTGAAGAGTAGGACAGCTTCTAGCTGAACCATGGCCGGGGGCGTCACACAGTTGAGCAAGCTAATAATCCATCTTACTCAATAACGAAGTAACAAAATACAGTCAGAAGTGCTTCGTTCAAAACGCGCTCGGATGCTTGCAGGTAGTGTTGTTGTAAAGCATAATATCGAACCTGTTGGTAAGGAGTGAGTAGGAAATAACTTATTATAGATTATTCTTCTGTTCTACATGGTGTTTGCCCTTCAGCAAAATTTACCACTCCGATGATCACAATCCCAGCATTCTTCGCATACCAGCATTCTCGATCACCCAACCACCCCCAAGTCTGAATGCGCCCGGGCCTTGAATTTTCGTATCCATCTTTCCCATCGCCACATCAGTCAAAAATGGTCCTAATTTATCGGTTGGAGAATGCATCGATTTCCACAGACAGCGAATACCTGGAGCCATCAAGGCGATCCCAACCTTAGCGGCAGTAGCGCTGATTCCAGTAGCGGAGGGGATATAAGGCTTGATAGCATTGTGTGCGGCTGCATCAACGAAAGCCGGTCTCACGCTGTCGACCTGGATGAGTCCCTTGTGTTTCTCTGAGAGTTCGCCGAGAAGCTGTTCAGTTTCGCCCTTTGTCCTGGCGAAGATTGCGGAGAATCTTCCTGGGGTTTGAGTTGCTCCTTCCCCAGATACATGGACAAATCTGAAAGGAGAATCCGACTTTGAGGCCTTGAGAGTAGAGAATGCTTCAGCGGCAGCAAGAGCATAGTCCTTGGTTATCTTGACATATTGTCTATTGGCTGTTAGTATTATATTCACGCATGTCAGTGGCTAAAGGGGGATTCTGGATCTTACTCTTGTGTGACGTTCATCTGACTCGTTCCAAGGGCCCATACACATCCGTCAGCGTCTTTTAGTTGATCAAGGAGCTCTGGCTTGTATGATTCGAAGTCTTTGTGCATGATGACGCGGACCCGGGGGTCCTTTGCATCATCTGCCATTGGCACAGGTCGGCGACTGAGAATCGAGATCTTGGAGATGGTGGTGTTTTTCAGCATCGCGTCAAGGACGGACGAGCCGACTAGGCCGGTGGCACCTGTAAGAATGAGATGCATTTTGAGGTTTGCTAGGAAGATTGTAATGGAGTCAAACGGTATGAATATAGTAAGGCCCAGGAGAGAAGTGAGAATATATTGCATTTATATACCTAGGTGTCGTTATCCGTTAAGTCCGTAAGAAAATCATAGAACCATGATGACAATACGCTAGCCCGATTTAGTAAGGCGTGTCATAGTAGTGGATATATATCTGAGAGTTGATTGGACCATGTCAACTTTGAAATCGGAATTTCCACCGGACTTAACTGAGCCGCATTGGGGTTATCTATTGGCGTCGGCTTTACGCGTAACTGAGAAAATGTGAAATTAGTGATGAGACAGTTCCATAACTAAAAACAACAGCTGTCTAGGTTGATTGGATGACGCAGTTGTGAGACAAAACGCAAATCCGCGCGACTTCAAGGCTATCTGAATCAAGATCCTACATCATGAACGACAGCTGGCTTACGGTCACTCTCCTGTGCACTATCACTGGAAGATCCACCTGCCTTCTCATGAAAAGCTTTTTGTGCAATGCTTTCCTGTTCTTCCTGGGTAACATTGTACCACTGAGAGACAACATTAGCCTCATCACCAAAGAGAGCTCCAACTTCCTCCAGAGTCCGACCCTCCGTTTCTGGGGGCAGGAAGTAGATTGCCACAATATAGCAAAGAGACGGAACAATGAGCACAAGGTAGAACGTCCAGACAATGCTGTTGAGAGCCACAGGGGCAGCAACCAGTGTGACCTCAGGAGCGAGATAGAAACTGCTGAGCCCGAGTGTGACGCCTTGCGAACATAAATGATTTGAAAATATCTCCACGACATAGATTTATTGTGTCATGTCAATGAAAAAACATCACCAGAAGATGAAGAAAACCACAAAGAACACTGCTCCCGGGAGGTCTGCTATATTATCTGCCCCCAGATACTGGGCTGTCACGGCGCAAAGACATATCACAGACACGGTGCAGCCAATGGAACCGATTAGCATGCAAGTTCGTCGACCAACTCGGACAACATAGAATGCCGTCCATGTGTTTCCAATTAGGGTAAAGCTCGTCCAGCACGCATTCAGAAGAAGAGGTATTGAACCACCGAGACCAAGGCTGGCATATATAAGAACACCATAGTTTGTCATAACAAAAACACCAAGAAAATGGTCTCCCCACATAAGTATGAAAGCAATCAAAGCGCGTCGTCGATTGGCAGGTGTGCGAAAGAGCTCAAGTCGTCAGATAGCCATGGATCTGTTATGCTCGAATTCTCTTGCGATAAGATGGAATTCCTGTTCGGCTTTGGCATGGTGGACATCATCTGGCGTACTATGCAGTCGCCTGACGGTTTCAAAAGCTTCCTCTGTCTTTCCTTGCTGCAGTAACCATCGAGGCGAGAACGGTATCAAGGAGCTTCCAGCAAGAACAATATGAGAAAAGATCACTTGAAATGCCAATGGAAATCTCCAAGAAAACGACGCGGCAGGACCAGCTGGTTTCATACAGTAGCAAGCAAACCCAAGCCATTCGGCTAGAGTATATCCAACGGCATACATAATCCCTGTCACTGCGACCATTGTGCCTCGAGTCTCAGAAGTCGAAAACTCAGCTTGATATATAGGGACGATGCATGCGAGGATGGCCGCACCAACACCTGCGATGAATCGACCAACAAGGAACATGGCCATGTTAACTGCGCCTGCGCACAATGCACTTCCAACAATCTAGAACACGCAGCCAATTTGCATGGTGTGCTTGCGACCGTAGTAGTCTGCCGTCCAGGCCCGAAGGAGACATCCGGCAATTGCCCCTGCCGAGTTGATGCCGTTCAGGGCGCCAATCATGTTGGTTGTATGAGAATATCCCGGCTGGCCTTCTGCTGGTAAATTGAAGTAGGTATAAAAGCTTGGTTGCCCGACGGTTGATCCGATGATGGCTAGACCATAGGTACTGGCAATCGTGCCAATAGCGACGAAGACCACTACCCATAGATTGTACGCATTGACAACGATTTTGTTTAACATGATGTCAATAAAAAGTAATTTTTGAAAGTATTTTATTGGAGAACTAAGCTGAGCAGGACAATCTGCCAGGAACCTAGAGCCACCCCCGCTGGCGATCCTTCAACGGGCACTCTAGATAGCTTGTATTAACGCCGATCACCCAATATGTAGCGTTGTCTCTGCTATTTCTCATCTTACAGTTCGCAAAGAAAGCCGGGATCAATAGAGGGTAGCCGAAATGCGGGGAAATATAAGGTTGACGGGTCTGCGGGAAGTACGCTTCACCGTTTACTCACCTAGGTAGTTCATAGGTAGCTAAATGTCTGCGGGAATGATTCTGTGATATAAAGTAAAACCAGACTGAGTATTACGATAATCAACATCTTATAAATTAACAGAAGGAAAAAGAAATCACAGGACGCCCTGGGCCGGTGGTGGCATATTCGTCTCTACCGCTTGTAATGGAACTGCGCCCCCAGGCAGCGGTCCCAAGGGCGGTTGGGGATTGGCTTGCGGCACAACTGCATACGGCGGTTGGACCACCGGGTTCAGTGAAGCTTGAGCAGGCAACCTTTGCGTAAGGTCACTTTTAGTAGTAGCAACGTGTAGCAGATCACGGTGTCGAGGAGCCGTTGCCATGTATAAGAGGAAGCTGAGCCACGGCCCGTCCAACCGGTAATTGTCCCAGGTATTGTAGCCTGCAAAGACGGCAACCATCACTTTCTGCCATTTTGTCATTCGCTGCTTGGTAGAGTTGAGAAGCGTGAATTCGAGCTCAACATTCGGAATGCCACGTGTGGTTGATCCCCCCACACCCGAGCAATTCTGTAACCCCATACATGGAGCAGTCGTGCCGGAAGCTCGCTCGAGCATGTCTATATCAGCTTGATACATGACCGCGTTAGATGCCCCGGTATCGTACACAAATTCAAACTCGGCATAGAAATTCGTGCGTGGTATTCTTACTGCCACATCATACTTCGATGGGTTAGAAAGTATCAATGAGGGTTGGGGTTAGGGACCATACAGTTCTGAGCATATTGGCGTGCCGGGCGTCTAAGGTCATATAAGCCAATAAGGGCGCAGGCCGCGGTCCTGTCAACTTTGAATGTCAGGTTTTACCACTTAAAAGAATTCACGAGACTTACCCCTTCCATCCAAAATCCAGATGTACCACCATAGTGGGCATTGAGCACCTCGAATTCTTTCCAATAGAATGGACGTGGATGACAAAGTTGAGTCCCTTTATGCCAATAGGTGACCAAGCCGGGATGCCACTGCAGAGCTCCTCCCCGATATGACTGAAGCAAAGCTTGTACATTCTGAAGCTGATCGTGTTTATCTTCCATTTCGAGTTCTTCTTCTATCTTCCTCAGTGAGTTCACACGTTGAAGAATACTCCAGTCGCCGCCCTTGAAGCCGTTCCTCGTTGCCATTGCCCTGGGATTTTATCAGTATGTCCTCGGTCAATTGAATCGGTGACTCTTACTCTCGTTGTTTCTGGGTCTCTTGTAGTCCTTTTAGTCGGATCTCAAATATTTGAGGCATATAGTTTTCTTTGATTCTTTCTTTGCACCTTGATAGTTGTGCATCAATATCGCTATACCAAGCTGGTCAATATACTTTCAAATGCTGAATGCCCCCTCGGGTTTTATTGATAGATACTCACTTATTATCAATATCCTTCTCGAGGATAGACCAGCCTTTATCTAAAGGTAAGTCGTTAGGGTCTGTGGCCGGCTTATTGGGAGGCAGTTGGGGCCATGTTTGTTTCGGAGGCCGTGGCGCGGAAGAGGGTTCTGGAAACTTTCCCACGTAGGAGGTACTAAGATCTGGGGCCAGGTCTGCATACGTCAAATTTTCATATCCGGACTCGTCGCGGAGGAAATCTGCGGCAGAAGGGAAATAGGGTAATTTTTCTTTCTTGTCGTCGGCTTCATCAGTTCGCTGTCTCTTTGCCGATGATCTCCTGGTCGCCATTGTGGGACTTTCGCTTATTTCCAAATCTTGGTTCTGTAATTGTATTAGCGAAAAGTTTGATTTCAGGTGATTCAAACTTGAAATAAGGCTCTAGTATCACCGAAGAATGGATTCCTGGCTCGGAGGAGAGGGGGAAGTAGTAGAGTTGAGGCTTTATATCACCGTTTATATTGTACCGGCATGTAGACAAAGGAACTTGGTAATTTGAATGGATATTTCTTTGACACCAGTTCCTCGTGGTGAGATAATGATGAGTGACCTCGTTTGTGCGGTTGACTTGGTACCTTTCACTTTCATGTTGGTTCTCGAGGTAATCAAGTCAGGACATATCAAAGACCTAGATTTACAACTAGGATTAGTCTGGGAATTGAGTTTCTGTGGCGATCATGAAAGGTACCAATATCAAAATAGTTCTTTCACCAAATCCGAAGCCCCTGATATTGTCTAGCGAGTCTTTGTTCAGACCTAGCTAGAAGTGCAATTTTATCCCAACCCTATATTATTTTCGTCCATAGTGTTCAATAGAGCTTTGAGCACCCTTTGATCTCCGTCTCCTCTTTTTTTCTTTTTTTTTGGGGGGTCTTTGAACGACATGTATTCTCTTCCGTCACAAGACCTTCACTTTTGCTCAAAAACGTATCAGTCATCGAAATCCATCAAAAAGATTCAATTTAAGAGAAGAGGACTTCGCTTCCTGCTTCAGATGGCCTTCGACATCTTGTCTATCTAGGGGCTGAATGTTACATTTTCAATCTCAGTTAGGGCTCGTTCTATGCTGTGTTAGTCATGACACTTGTGATGTCAACTCAGATATATATTCGTGAGACCAAAGACTTATTTGTCTATACACATAAGTCATTCTATTCCTACCACTGAAATAGCATAACACATTCGAAATTGCCCAAACACTAGTTGATATATATCACCGCCTGAGGCATCAATAATTGTAAGGCCTCAGGCGATAATCACGGGACGGAACATTCCTAGCGCCGGGCAGGTACGTCACTCTCAATTGGTCAGCCAGTGTTTAGGTCTGTCTTATAATTCGACGTCGACACTCTCAACATCTGATTTTCCTTCTACGTACTTTAAAGAAGCTCTTTTCCTTCTCTTCTTGACCTTGTCGTCACTTCTTTCTACCAAATTCGCCCGCAAAACAGATCCATAAAGCTCAAAAATGGAGGACAACCCCGCAGAGCACGATGAGGTCGTGTCTCAATTCTGTGCTATGACAGGAACCCAACCCTCAGAGGTAAGATATGTGTCCGCTCTATGTTAGTTATCACTTTTGCTAACGCCCGGCTCGTGATCCTCTAGGCTCAGGAATATCTCACTGCCAACGGATGGGACATGGAAGCCGCCGTGACGGAGTTCTTCGCGGAGCAGGACGAGGCAATGCAAGACACTAACACTGGTGGCGCTCAACAACTGGGTGCAGAGAGTAGATCTGGAGCTCCTGGAGGGAGAACCCTTGGTGGAAGTGCTGCACCAGCTTCATCTTCTGCCGCCGCGGAGTCTTCGTCATCCGCCCGAAGCGCTGCTCCGAAAAAGAAATTTGCAACTTTAGGAGACTTTTCTCAGGGAGCAGCTGCCGATTCTTCAGATGACGATGATGACAATGATCAGGATTTCTTTGCGGGAGGTGAGAAGTCTGGATTGGCCGTTCAGAACCCTGACGACTTGAAGAAGAAGATCCTCGAAAAGGCCCGCAGGTAAGTCATTTAGGGTTACTGGGTTTGGAAGGATGATGTTGACATTCACGGTTATATAAACAGGGCGCAGCCTCCTCCTTCTGACGACCCCGAGCCGAGGGAATCACATTTTACTGGCACCGCCCGCACGCTTGGTGGTGACGATGCACCGAGCCGGGTGATTGAAAACCCATCTGCCCCTGCTCCACGGCGTGCCCAGCGTGTCCAACGCACCCTTCACTTCTGGGCCGATGGATTCTCAGTTGATGACGGTGAACTGTTCCGATCGGACGATCCCCGGAACGCAGAGATCCTCGATGGCATCCGCCAGGGCCGTGCTCCTCTCTCCATCATGAATGTTGAGCCTGGACAGGAGGTTGATGTGGAACTCAAACAGCACGAAGAGAAATACATCAAGCCCAAGCCCCAATATAAACCGTTTTCCGGTGCCGGACAGCGGCTTGGAAGCCCGACGCCTGGCATCCGAAGCCAGGCCCCCACCCCTTCTTCTTCTACGCCTGAAGCATCTGCCCAGGAGCCCGCCAAACCCACTGTGGACGAGTCGCAGCCTACCGTTACCCTACAAATCCGCCTGGGAGATGGTACGAGGTTGTCATCTCGGTTCAACACCACCGCCACTATTGGCGACGTCTACTCGTTCGTAACCGCCTCTTCACCCAGCGCCGCAAACCGCGCATGGGTTTTGATGACTACTTTCCCCAGCACAGAGCTGAAGGACCGAGATGTCGTTCTCGGAGACATGCCCGAGTTCAAGCGCGGAGGTGTTGTCGTCCAGAAATGGCAGTGAGCGCCATCAACATCCCGAGACTTTCCTTTGTCGGAGTGGTTTTAAAAGCGAATACCAGGGAAATGGGACACATGGGTAAACGTTTTATGACATATCTGATACACAGGGAAGCATAATAGCTAGATGACTTGGCCACAGTCCAAGCTCCAATACAAATAAGTGGCAAATCAACCCTTTCTGTAGCTGTGAGGGCATTCCAGGATTTCCATAGAATCTTTAGTCAGAATGCGATTGATAAGCGCATCCCGAGGTCGGCTCCCCACCTCGGATTTCTTTTGCACTTTCGCTTCTTCTCTCAGTTGTACGTTAACTGCATAATGCCTCTGACTGGTGTCAAAAATGTTGTGCTGGTGAGTGTGACTTTCATGCTACTGTGCGATCTGTCGAGGGGCAAAGAATACCACCCTCGCGGCTTATCGATAACAAACTACCGCAACCAAGATCACGAACGCGCATCTACATGACCCAGCTGACAAACATGTCTAATATCAGGTCCTCTCCGGCAAAGGAGGTGTGGGCAAGTCCTCTGTTACCCTCCAACTAGCCCTCGCGCTATCCCTCCAAGGCAAATCCGTCGGAATCCTCGATATCGACCTAACAGGTCCCTCAATGCCACGCCTCGTCGGCCTGGAAGATGCCAAAATCACACAAGCACCGGGCGGCTGGCTCCCAGTCCCAGTACATGCCGCCGAGCCAGCAAACGATGCCTCAGAGTCAACACAGACCCAGCGCGGGTCCCTCCGCTGCATGTCCCTCGGCTTTCTACTTCGCGACCGCGGCGATGCTGTCATCTGGCGCGGACCCAAGAAAACAGCCATGATTCGCCAGTTCTTGTCGGATGTCTTCTGGGGGCCGACTGATTACCTGCTTATCGATACGCCACCCGGAACGAGTGACGAACACATTGCGCTCGCTGAGCAGTTGCTCTCCCTCTCTACAACGGACGCGGCGGCGGCTGCGCAGGCTGGGTTACCTCGTTTAGCTGGGGCGGTGCTTGTTACAACGCCGCAGGCTGTTGCAACTTCTGACGTGCGCAAGGAGGCTAATTTCTGTGTTAAGACGAATATTCCCGTTCTTGGGGTTATTGAGAATATGTCTGGCTATGCTTGTCCGTGCTGTGGGGAGGTGAGCAATTTATTCTCCAGTGGCGGTGGACAGGTTATGGCTCAGGAGCTCGAGATTCCTTTCATGGGCAGTGTGCCCATTGACGTGAAATTCGGGGAGCTGGTCGAGGGGAAGATGGAGGCTGGGGATAGTGATGATGAAGACGAGAGCGGAGCGCAAAACGCTCAACCGCAAGACACTGCTGAGCCTGATGATCGGCCCCTCGTTGAACGATACCGGGACTGCTGGTCTTATCCTAGGTTTGAGGACTTTGCACAGGCCATTGTAGGTGGCATTGAGGGAACAGCTGCTACGGCTTAGCAGTCCAGCTTGAAAAGTGCCTTTGAATGCTTTTTTTTCTAGCGATATCCAGCTTGGCTGGGTTTTGGTTGCATTGCATTGCATAACAGGGGATTGCTGGAAGTTCTGAATGTCAGATTAATGAATCAAAATACAATGCTAAGCCTCGAAACCTGGTATAATGTGGATTATAAGTACAAATTAAGTTGATGTCAAGGATGACGGTATGCCATGCTTGTCCTCTTCTTTCAAGAGATGGGACTCAGGCTGGTCCCCGGTTTCCAAATCACTCAACTCGTCCAGTACATTCAGCTCCTGAGAACTGAGGGACATCCACTCCTCATACTCAGCCTCTTTGTCGGAGCTTTTTTTAAAGAGTTGTCCAAGTAGACCCCTACGAATATGAGTCTTAAGGAGCCATGCGCATAACATAACAAACGCGGCAGACATGAACCCAAGCGCAAACATCCAAAAGTCCCCAATGCCAGACTCACCCATAAAATCATCTTCATCACCATGAACAATCAAGATCTCCTTGCTAAACACCTCTGGTTTCCATTCCACAGAAGCAGTGACGCCCAGGAATTTCCCTTCATCTCCCAGCGCAACAACGCGCAGGGTTCGATATGGCATATCCGAAGGAACAGGAACAACAGTTTCAAACCCAGACTTGGGAACAGCAGAGACGAACACAAAATCATCAAGATGCTCAGGGTGTTGTATCTTCCAGTCATTGAACTCATTCCTATTAGTTCCGTTCCTTGTATCAACAGCACCCTCCAAAACCCAACTCTTCACCTCCGTGGCTCCATTCCAGCTGACTGCAACATATGTCTCTGCAAACGCCGCATCGGGAGATGAGGTCGGTCTTCCAACCCATTGATGTTTGAAAACGCGGTATGAGATTATATTACCATCACCGAAGCCGCCGGAAGGCCCGAAATGGACATTACATAGCACTTCCCCGTCCATGGAGAACTCTGTCCACGCTGCGTCGAACCCATATCCAACTAGCACGTTGCCGTTGTCGAGGACCTGAACTGAGCCTTGTGACTGGCTACTAATTTGCAGTGGATTCCAGTACTCATGTCTGACACTCGCTGTGAGCTCGTTCTCATCGATATCGACGAACAATCCACGGCTTCTATTCTCGGGCGCACCTTTGCCTCGAGACGAGTTGTCAAAAACTGTAATTGCACGTTTCGGGTAATCCTCTGACTCAGGGTCTGCATCTGTATCGTCCTCCTGGAACCGAGCATGATGCTGCCAACTGATATTCGTCGCTGCGCCTTCTGATAAATCGGTGAAGGAATTCTGCGTCCCACCAAGTCTCCAGATTATATCGCCGGTCTTTCCATCGATATAAGTGAGGCAGCTCATATACCGTGAAGAAATTAGGAAATTGCCCCGGGCATCCTTGTCGATGCTGTTGATATGGAAAAAGTCCCACGGCGCATCCTCTGAATTTCCATTGCCTTCAGTTCCGCGGTAACCGTCGTTGAGGTTAAAATGTTCGGATGCGCGCCATTGAAAGAGAAGCTCGTTCGTCTCAATGTCGACTTCTTGGAAGACACCGTCGAAAATCCACCCATTCTCAGGTCCGCCGACAACACGCAGGTCCGCGGGCCGAGTTTCATATACAGCAAAAACAGCCGTCTCGTCAGGTGTTATGTTAAACTCATGCAGATCCGCAGGAAGGCCGTTGACACCGCGGACTTTGTATGTTTCTTCGTAGCGGGAATTGAGCTAGTAATTATCAAGTTAGCAGACATGCTTGGTGGACCATGCATTTCACCCACCATGTAATAAACCCCATTACCATGTCCACGAACCCCATCATTCCCAGTCCAGAACGTGAGATAATCTTCCCCTCGAAAAGTGTGAATATTCAAATTATACGTCGTCCCGTACTCCTTAAACCAAACCAGATCTCCATTCTGATCTAGTATCATCGGTCCTTTGTGTCTGACTGAATCTCCACGCGGTGCGATGAGTGTATATCCCCCATCTTCACAAGCTCGACTGCGATGCCAGTAATTCAGGATTGGACCGGAAAGTGATGAGGAGTGGTAGCTCTGTTGGGGCCATGCGCCGTAGTGGCTGCGGTCATAGCTAGTGGATCGGTAGTAGGGCTTTACATCCGCGTTTGTGAATGGTATGAAGAGTGATAACGATAGAGAGTGTATAAGTATAGTGTGCTGGGGTAGCATATTAGGTTGCTAAGTGTGGGATGAGAGAAAAACATCATGCTGCTGGATAATAGTGGCATTATATTTTTCTTCAGTAGGACTAGAGGCAAGGCTGCGCGTCCCCGGACTTAGCTTATCTGATATTGATGCTTATAATGGCTACATCTTCTTGGCGTTGTAGGTGTTCTCCATCTGTGGAGCCGGGCCGCGACAGCTTGCGCCGGCTATATTGAATTGACGGAGTGAATAGGGGCTGAAGGGTAATTGTTGTTGTTGCTGTTGATTTTACTTTTGCCTGCTATTTCCTATCAGGTAACTTGTTTGAGAGGCTACTGTCAGAAAAGAAGTTATCACATACCTAATGGGTGTCGCGTGTCGTCCGCGTAAGCTGGTTTTGGCAATCGAGTGGAGATATACGTTAGCGCTAGTATGGATGAAGATGACTGTTGGCGATCAGTGATAACCCGGACAAGCCGTGAACAAGTCTTCAGTTCGACCGTTGGAATGTCTAACATGCAAAAATCAAGTTTGCGGACTTCATCTGGAAGGTTCATGCTGTAAACGATAAAGATTTTGAAATCGACAAGCCAATGTCGGAGCAGTCTGTGATATTCAACCTTCAACTTTCTTTCTTAAGCTTCGGAAGTATAGAAGAGATATACAAGGATATACAAGATGCGAGTTGTCCGAATGGCTAGCACAGTCGTATATTACCAGAGTATCTCAACTGCGCATTTGCCAAATACCTTTATCCACACTGACAGCCTATGCTACGTATGTCGCTATTGTGAGTTGATTTGGAATATCCTTTGTCAGAAAGCAGGAAAATAACATGAGGGGACTCTTGTGGAAATTGACTAAATGTAAAATCAAAATCTATGTAATTTGACGGCCGAAACGAACCTTTTATTGGTCTCGTGTTACCTTCTGTGCTGTCTCTGAGACATAACGGCTACCAACCATCAACAGCCAATCAGAAGTCAGTTTGGCCGAGTGGTTAAGGCGATTGAGTAAGCTCCGCCGCAATTATCAGTCAAAGATCTCTCACTAACAAACCCTACAGCTAGAAATCAATTCCGTTCGCGGGCAGAGGTTCGAATCCTCTAGCTGACGATTCCTTTTTTGTTCCTTTATCATATTTCTTGCTCCTTTGTTAGGGGTCACTATATATAATTCTGGTTTCAGATGATGATTTTCGTGGGTCATCTGACTTAGCTTTACATGCTCCTTTTTTTTTTTTTTTTAAAAAAAAAAAAAAATTAGTCGAAGTGCCTGAGATTAAGGGGAAAGTATAGCTCTATAACTAGTAAATACCTCTGAGCTCCTGATCAGTGCATTGTACAAGTTTTCTTAGTACCTAATATTGTGGTTAGAATAGGGATTGCCCGAATACATTCTACGATACTGAAAAACGCCTTTCTAAAATATGCCACGCTATTCATGGATATAGGCGACTTCCTGAAAATTAATTGCTGCGAGCGAGCTCCAAATATAATATCAGCATCAATCATTGTGGGGACAAAATCAAACCCATATCGATATGTGGTCCCCATGATGTAAGCGATTTAATCCTGTGATTTCGCTTGCCGCTGTTGTAGGCAATTCTGCCAGATTTCAAATATTCACTGTCAGTTTGGCCGAGTGGTTAAGGCGATTGACTAGAAATCAATTCCGTTCGCGGGCAGAGGTTCGAATCCTCTAGCTGACGATTTTTTTTCCCTTTCCTTTTTCGCTGCGCCCCTAGTTTTCTCCAGTCCTAAGACCTGAAAATAATTATTGAATATATTGTCTAGTAATAAAATAAATTTGACTGAAAATACGGTGGAAATCGAAATTATGACTCCTGTATGTTGGAATCGCTCCAGTATAACATATTTGCCATGACTTACATCTGACGTCAGTTTGGCCGAGTGGTTAAGGCGATTGACTAGAAATCAATTCCGTTCGCGGGCAGAGGTTCGAATCCTCTAGCTGACGATTTCCTTTTTGTTCACAACTGCATTGTTTTTTCTACTAAATTTCCTTATATTTTTTTCAATCATTTAGCCGGTGTGTGCTGTCTGCCATAGGGTTGGTTTTTGTCGGTCTTCTTATATATGACCGTGAAAAGCTACAGTATGTCCGCATAAAAAGCACCATGCCCAGGACAAGGAACAAGCAAGGAAGCCATATCAAACTTGAGACTAAACTATACATGTTAGATAGTACAAATTTATTGAATGGCTTTCTAACGTTCAAGCTATTTGATACTATCATTGAGTGTATGAGAATATAGACTATGCTTGTTATATCTATACATTATCTTATCATTGGCCTCGCCCTCGCGAGATATAGGTAGGTTCATTAGAATCGTAGATATAATTTAGGGATACTAATAAGAGGCCTTATGCGATTCGCAATGGAGCATATCTCAAACAAGCAAATAAAACTAGCCTGCGTCTTCTCTTCTCGCCCGCACATCTCTCATCAACGCCTTGGCCTCCTCCACCTCGATACCATCCTGACATAACTCGCTCGCCAGTTGGTCTGCACGGTCTAGGTCACCATTCCTTGATGCGAATTGTGCTAACCACAGCCGTGCTTTGGAAGTTGTTGCAGTGACGCCAGTACCATGCCACGACTCACTGTTGATCGAGTCATCATTTTGGATACTGTACGACTCGGTCTTGGCACGGGTTTTGCGATTCTGGCCGCGTCTCCGTGAGGTATCAACATCTTCGTCCTCTGAATGCTCAATCTCAGCATCGCTCTGAGTGGCCCGTTCCGAGGAAGACGAGGAATCTTCTTCGTCGCTATTTTCCTCGCCAGGAGGAGCACCAGACTCTTGTTGCAGAGTGAGTTCCATGTACGCGGCGGCTTCGTCCTCATCGCCAAGTCGCTCGTACAATGTTGCGATTTGATGAAGGGTTTCTGGGTCGAGAATTTTTCGAGATCCAGGACTAGAGCTTGTAGCGTTGCCTCCATCATCTGCGTGAGATGATCCAGCCACCAGTGCGCGCTTGAGAGCTTGGATACTTTGTTCTATCCGGCCCATTTTCGCATAGCAAGAGCCCACTGCCTGCCACATCTTTGGATCGTATGGACGTAGTGCAGCCGCGCGTTGATAGTAGAACAAGGCGTAGAATGACATATCCAAGACTTCGTAGGCCTGTCCAAGACCGTACCAGGCACGGTAGTCTTTGCGGTTGACGTCGACAGCACGACGGTACGATTCAATGGCCGTGTGCGTATTTTTCATCTCAATGTATTCATGGCCCATAAGGGTCCAGGCAGACAAGAAGTTGCGGTCAAGGGTGAGTGCACGTCTGAAGTACATTACTGCCTTCTCGTGCTCAGATTTCAAAGAGTAGTAGTTTCCGACAACACAGCAGGTTTCGGGGCGGAATTTGTCCGTAGCGGTTGCAACCTGAGCAACGAAGGCAAGTTGAGGTCGATGGTCCATCACGTAGAGAATGTTTGAATAGTGATCGAGGCTGTCTAGGCGGTGGGGTGATGTTGCCAGAATGCCTTCAAATATTTTGGATGCCTCCTCAAAGTCTGGTTGTATCGTGTCAGACAAAAGGCGCTGAATGACAATCTGGGTAGTCAGGGGGTTACCTCTTGAATGATAACAGAGTAATGCGCGCTGTGTCTTTAAGAATGCACTCTCCGGGAACGTAGACTCCAATTCGGTCAAGGCTCTGTAAGTCTCATCCGTATCCTGATACAGCTCCTGGCTGCAGTAAACGTAAAATATGATGCTCATGACATTCTGCGGGAGCAAGCCAAGTATTTGTTTCAGCTGACATTGTCAGTACCAAGAAGATACATAGTTCGATAGAAAAAACTTACATCCTCTGTGCTAGCCAAAAGATCGTTCAATTCCTGCCAAGCGCCCCAGTGGTATGGGTTCTGATGCACACAGCGGAGAAGCCATTTCTTTGCTAGCTCCTCATTGCGTCCTTTCAACAGAACAACGGCGTATAGATACTCCAACCATCCTTGACCTTGATCTTCCAAGCCTTGTGCGCTTCGATCCTTCAACCACCCATCTAGCCCTCGCGCTAGGCCTGGCAACTCCCGATTGGCCGCCATCCCACCGTCTGCTGGACCTAAGACCATCTCTGTCTCCTCCTCTCTTCGCTTCTCTCCAGCTAAATATTTGGCATACAGGGCGAGAAAAAGTGACTTTTGGCTGAGTCTGGGATATGGATTCTGGTGCGTTTGAGCCTTCGAGCCTTGGAATGGCGATGCCTTATCCTTGCCCTTGTTTGAGGCCCGTTGTTGTCTGGATTTAGAGTTAGGTGAGGTGACCGACAAAGGAACAGGTGGGGTCGTTGGAGGAAGGAACACGGCCGCACAGCGGTCATATTCGCGAGTGTCGAAGTAGGATTTGGCCAGAAGGTATCTGTGGGACTCTTGCGCTTCAAGGCTAGCTTCTGCTATGTCCCGCACCGGTAGGTAAGGGTTGGGAGGCGGTGGTGCAAGTCCATTGATGTCCATGGGCGACTCGATATCGGTGTCTTCATGATGTAGATTCCGGAGAGAATCAAGCATTTCGGCAGCCCTAGGTGAATCTCATTAGTTTCTCTGGGCTTTTCCAATAGAGCCTACCACTCATACCATTTTGCCGATTGATAGAGACAACGCTCTGAGCATTTTATTGCTGCGTTTTCCAGTTGCCACCTAAGCTCTTGAATGGCATCGTCCGTTGGTTCTTCCATGTTTCGTATCTCCAGTGTACGTAAGTGGAGGTGTTTCGAGGCGTATTCCGATCTGTAGCTCTATGGGCGAACAGAGCTCTGGATTAATCAAGGCGTTTCCTCGTAATTTGATATCATCATTTGATCATATGAAGCCGAAAAATCACTGCAATTGGATCATCAGTAGATCGTGTAAATAAAGGCTTTGTGCTTCAGGCGCGTGGATTTGGACAAAGCAATCCACCGGCAAGAATATTGCAACAATTATTTGACAGTCCCGGGCCCGATGATTGATATGGAGAAGCTGGAAATCACGAAGATCGTGTATTGAGCTTAAAG